GTGTCTGTGTAAGCATGTTTGCAGTCAACCAAAGAATCAGCATCAACAGCTGCGGGCAGCGATTGGGTAGCGCTTGGGCAGCACTTGAGCAGAAAATATTTTTATGGCTATAACTTCTTGTTAAATCGGCCTACGGACACATAATGACTAACTGGGGGTATTTTCCAAATTTGAGTTCGAAATTCCAAGAATTACGGGAGTTACGATTTGCGTTGGAGAGGGAGGGAAATTCCAAAATACACATTTTCTGCGTATTCACAAAAGTCTATTGTCAATTGGTCTAAAATTTTGTGTTCCTAGGTCTTATAGTCTCCGAGATATAGGCGATTATACGAATGGAAAATCGTTAAAACTCCCATAGGGGGGAAAATAAAAAAATAAAACAAATTCGTATAGCGTACACACATAAGGCATCTTTGTGCAAAATTTGGTGTCTCTAGCTCTTATAGTCTCTGAGATCCAGGTGTTCCTACGGACAGACAGTCAGACATAGATCGACTCGTCTTGTCATGCTGATCAAGAATATATATACTTTTTAGGGTCTGTTACGCAACCTTCTGCCTGTTACATTTTTCAGCTCGCGCAAACCTAATATACAAGGAGTGTTCCAAAGTAAACAGGACTTAAAAAAAAAACAAACAGAACAAATGGTTTTTTCGGCAAAATCAATTTATTTTATTCAGAATAGTCTCCTTCTGCTTCAATACAGCTTTTTGCATGATCCAAAAGCATGTATTTGTATTTGTTTGTTTATTAATTCCTAGTACGACAAGAAGATTTCTTATAAATTAATGTACTAGTCACAAAGTATGCAATTTAAGGTGATTTTTCTTTTGCTCTTACCGTTATCATTAAATTAGTACAAAAGAGTTGCCTAATGAATGTAAATGTATAGTATAGGTTTAGTGCTTTTTGATTTTTTCAATTAGTTATACTCTTGGAAGTGTGCTTCAATTCTAGTTCTAAAATGCGTTTCATTGCTGATTATTTTTAAGTTATGTGGTAGCTCGTTCCACAGACGAACAGATGAAAAAGTGCTTTCCTGAACTGGATAATCTATATCTTTCGCAAACTATATTATTGGTTCTTCTTGATGAATTAAATGAGATTTTGTTATACAGATAGTTCGGTTCTTTACGATTAATGGTTCTATGCAAGAAAATTAGAGTCCTAAGTTTTATCCACGAGTGAAGAGTCAGGTTTAAAATTTTGTTAGCGTATGTCGTTATAGATTATCTTCGTTTAATGTTATAGACATATCGCGCAATGCTGTTGAAGGCGACTTTTAATTTATTCTGCCTTGCGGCATCGCAATTTCCAAATAACTCAACCCCATAAAATAATGAGGGTATCAGGTATGACTTTGCAATAAGAAGCTTGAGTTTGCCTGGGAGGAAATTCTGCGTCAAAGAGAGATGCCTTAGTGCAATATAAGTGCATGTCGAACGAGTGTTTTAGCTCGTTGGCCGGTATGGCCGCCAGTATGCCGGTTCAAGCCTTTTGAATGGCCTCTACGCCTGCATAACGCTTTCCTTTCATGGGCAAATGCATTTTTCTGAAAAGATAAGAGTCACACGGTGCCATATCAGGTGAATACTTGAGTGGTTAATGGTTAAAATGTGATTTTTGGTCAAATAATCGGTCACAAGCGTCGATCGACGAGAGCAACAATGAATTCATGCACAGTTTCGATGGAATTTTCGGTGATCACAAATTTTGATTGGCCCACATGTTGATCGTCATTTATGTCCTCACGACCACTTTAAAAACGTTGAAACCACTCGTGCACTCTGCCACGGGATAGGCAATCATCGCAATAAACTTGTTCCATCAATTGAAACGTTTCGGTAAAAGTTTCACCAATTTTTAAATAAAATTTAATGTTGGCTCTTTGTTTGAAGCTCATTTTCGCAAGGATAACACAAACATACTGACACTTAAAACGCAATAACTTCACTTCGAATCGATGAAATGTCATGAAATTCTCACTGGACAATCGATAAAGATAGCAGATTCTAACGCACCAGTCGACATTTAGATAGCGCCACCAGGGGGCGCTAGATTCAAAAAGTCCTGTTTACTTTGGAACGCATCTTGTACTCTTGTACATACAGAATGTGTATTTTGGAATTTCCCTCCCTCCCCTCTCTTCACCACAAATCGTAACTCCCGTAATTCTTGGAATGTCGACCTCACTGCAAATACCCCCAGTTAGTGATTATGTATCCGTATGTCCAGTGTTGGTGTTCATATATGCCCCACATCGCTTAAGTTCATCGTACTGTCAATATCACACGTAATTGACCGTATCATGAGCTACGCTTGGGCCACGCATGTGCATATGAAGCCAATGCAGGCAGCTATTCTTAGCTATTGTTAGAATAGCGGCCGCGCATGTGTACAAAACAACCACCAACCGGGTACCACGTCTACCTACACCTACGCTGGATATGCACGCACCGACTCAGCTAGCTGCATACAACACCCCAGCAACGATTTATTTTATGAATCACTTATTAGTAATAATTAGACCTACGCACATTCTCAATTTTGTATATAAACCCTTGCATTTCAATCAATAAACAGACAGAACAACAAGAGCACTCGTGCAGCTCTAATCTCAAAATTCCCTTTCAGCTCCTCCGAATTACACTTGGTTCAAGTACCGATTGTAAAAATACCCAGCTACTAGTTTAGGGGCTTATTCAACAAACAACAACATATTTTTGGTGACCCCGACGCGATCCTTAATATAGGATCACACACTTTAGGGACGCAACTGGATTGGAAGGATTGGTCAACAAGGCGACCAACGTCAACTCTATTGAAGAGAGCTTTGTTGGGCAGCAGTCGTGCTCAAAGAAGCCCAAGAAACTTCATCAAAGCAAGGCTGACGCAACAAGGAAGCTGTGCCAGCTGAATCTACGTGCTAGAGATTTCGCTATAGGGCAGTATTCCGACAAATTGGACTGGAACGATTAGTCAACAAGGCGACTAATCAAGACTTCGTTGGGCAGCAGTTCTGGTCGTGCTCACAGAAGCCCCAGAAACCTCAGCGAAGGATCATATCGAGGACTCCGTTTCATCGGTGTGAGTCAAGGCACATTCGGCTTTTAAAAAAGCAAAACAAAAACACCTCCAACGGGTCTGACAACTGATACCAGATTGGAGAAATGGCAATTCTATCTCCAGAACTGGATTCGCTGCTTAATAAGCAAGCATCGCTTGGAGAAGAAATTCTAACCCTGATAAGGAATTACAAAAAGGATTCCCAGGATAGAAAAACGAAAGCTTACTACGAAGAAAGAAAGGCAAGGCTAAGCCATCTTCGGGAGCAATTTCAAGCGGGCAATAATAATATTATTGTTGCCTTAAATGGTCAAATAATAGACCATAGCTATTTTGAAAGCGACTATTACACAAAAGTAATAGATATCGCTAATGAGTATTTAACTAAATTTACTCAACACACAACCATGCTTCAAACGTTTGACATGGACACCAGCCTCTTCGGCGATAATGCTGAAAGGCCACAAGGTATTGAGTCGCATATAAGGCATCAAAACGCTTTGATGAGTACATTGTCTCGCATAATGGGACAAATGACACTTGAAAACAAACAACAACTGAGGCCTATGGTGAAGAAATATTGGAATCAAATTTCCGATCTCCTTTTTTCAAATCTATAGAGATTTTGAAAATCCTGACAGCCTGGGCTATAATACAGCCAATTTTATTTCTGCCGAAAGTGGTGTCATGAAGATGAATACATCAGCTACTGCAGACCCCGTACTTGACGCAACAACACAAATTGTCGTTGCAGCTGCCAAAGATATCAATACCGCAATTTGATGGTGACTATCTCAAGTGGCAACAATTCCATGACATCTTCAAGAAGATGATTCATGAGGCCGAACTTCCCACAATCCAAAAAATGTGGTACTTGAAGGCCAATGTTCAAGGCGAAGCAGAACGACTGATTCGCCACCTCTCGCTGACTGAAGCGAACTATGAGACAGCAAGGAAAATGCTTATGGATCGGTTTAACAACCAAAGAGTTCTATGTTCAGAGCTGCTGAAAAAACTCGTAGACCAACCACAAGTTGTGAGTGAAGCCTGGTCAATAAAACAGTTTCATGACACCATTCATGAAACAATGGCTGCATTGAAAAATATGAAGATTAACACTCTGTCATGGGATCCAATTTTACTGCACATTCTGACGAAGAAATTGGATCGCCAAACTCACACTTTGTATGAACAGTCCATACTGGACACTCCAATCATTAAGTGGGTTTAAATCCTTCTTTTAGCAACGCTTTTTGGCTTTGGGGGTCATTGGAAGCAAGCAAGGAAACAAGGAGAAATATAAGTCATGCGCATCGGTCACAGCTGACACAGACAAAACATGCACAGTTTGTAATCAGCCCAACCACCGGATTTTTCAATGAGACAAATTTAAAGCAAAATCAGCCTCAGAAAGACTAAACTTGGCACAAACGAAATGATTATGCATAAACTGCTTGGGAAAAAATCATAGAGCCCTAGAATGCCGTTCCCGAGGATGCTTTAATTGTAATAAAAAACATAACACGTTATTGCATCTACATACATCCGAGCGATGTAATGAAATATGGCGAAGCAAAAAGGCACCAGCCAGGCACGAATTGGGACAGCCAAGTTAGCAATTGCAGAATGGAACATAATTGCCTACTACGACTTAGACCCGTATTGGAACGATATGGATGTATTCCAATCTGGCAAACTAAGCCTCAACAAATTATGTCCTCACCCATATAACTAACAGGCATGTGTATCGCCGCACAAACACTTCTGTCATATAGAGGAAGAGCTTCAGACCGAAAACGAGCTGTTGGAGTACCCACGAACCCAGAGATCCCCTCTTGACATCGTTGGAAACATAGAGTTGAGGTGGCAGCGGCCACTGTTAACTCGCTGCTGCTATCACCTGGTGCGGCAGCGGCCGTTGTTTACCTGATGCTGTTATCGCTGCCTGCGTCGACGTCGGCGACGCGAGAGAGCGCTGCCGTCGTCAGCTGTGATCTGACAACCGCTGCTTCGTTCCTTAACCTTTATTAAATTTCGCCTTGGCACTCTCAAAAAACCTGTGAATAAAAAAAGAGCTGTATATTTGAATTCGACTTGAACCGGTATTTTTTCTAACCTCAAAGTGAACTGTGGAGTTTTCAGCATCTTCAAACCCATTGCGGCGCCCTACTACAACATTTGCTCCATCGTTTTGCGTGCAAGTCTCCGCTCGCCCCAGCACGTTCTCTGCGCCGTGGGTACCCAGGAAAAAAAGCAGCTAAGTTAAGATTTTTCCTTTGCACCTACATACATACATACCGCCATTTTGTAGTCGGTCCGTGTGCTGATTTCCAATTCTGAAGTGTGCTCTGCTGCATAGTCGTGTGTGCATACACCCATCACGGGCCCCTTCATTACCTGCAACATCAGCAGATCCGTTTATTTTGGCATATGTAGCCACGAAGATTCCATAGTCACTTACCACCATATTGACTGCACGTCCGCTGCGGAAAGCAACGGGTGAAAAGTTCCCCTCCTCTCTTTCCGCCACCAAACGTCACGCGTATCCGCGCCCCGCCTTCTCAGGCCTACTTTGCCATCACCGCTGGATAGACGCACCCGGCCACCTCCATATTTTATACTGATTTGTCGTCAGCCACGTGCATTTTTTTATACACAGCGACACAGCTGTTTTTTTTTTGGCAGTGCGCCACCGTTGCCGGCTATCACACATGCAGTATCGTTTAAAAGAAAAAAAAATAAACGCGTCAAATATTTAGGCGCACAATAATTGCGCACATATTCAAAACATATCATATGCACAACGGCGCGTATATCCACATATGTATATACATACATATGTATATATTGCATACACATATACATATCACACATGTATACATTGCCTGTATCTACATCTTCTATATATATAAAATAGTTTGTCCTGACTGACTGACTGACTGACTGACTGAATGATTGGTGATCAACGCACAGCCCAAACGGTAAAGGCTAGGAAGCTGAAATTTAAATTCAAGTATCCTTTCATAGTCTAGGTCCCCACTAAGAAGGGATTTTGGAAAACTCGAGCTCCAAAGGGGGAAAACAGGCTCCAACGTTTGTATGAAAAATCTACAGTTTTCATCTGATTAACTTTAAACTTAGTTTGTATACTCCAATTCCAATTCCAAGAAAAACTGTATACTTGGTTTTTTGATATTTTTTGTGGGGCCTAAAATATGGGAGTTTTCCTGTAAAAAAAATGTTGGGGCACAAAAGCAAACCGCGTCAACAGCCCACAGCCCACACGGTAAAAGCTAGGATGCTGAAATTTGGGCTCAAGTATCCTATCATGGTGTAGATGAGCACTAAGAAGGGATTTTGGAAAATTCGAGCTCCAAAGGGGGGAAAATTAGCTCCAACGTTTGTTTGAAAAATCCGCATTTTTCAGCCGATCGACTTAAAACTTAGTTTCTAAAATCAATTAAAGAATGCAAAGAAAACTGCATACTCGGTTTTTTAAATTTTTTGTTGGAGCTTGAATTATTGGGGTTTTCTTGGGGCACAAAAGGAAACCGCGTCAACAGCCCACAGCCCAAACGGTAAGAGCTAGAAAGCTGAAATTTGGGCTCAAGTATCCTATCAGGGTGTAGATGCGCACTAAGAAGGGATTTTGGAAAATTCGAGCTCCAAAGGGGGGAAAACGAGCTCCAAAGTTTGTTAGAAAAATCCGCATTTTTCAACCGATCGACTTAAAACTTAATTTCTAAAATCAATTAAAGGATACAAACAAAACTGCATACTCGGATTTTCGAAATTTGTGTTGGAGCTTGAATTATTGGGGTTTTAATATTTATTCACTATTTCAAATGAAAGGTTTTTGTTATAAATTTAGTCCGATCGATTTAAAATTTGGATAATGTAATCTACGTAACTAAATCTACAACTTTGAATTCAAGGATTTTCAAAATATGCATTTTACAAAAGCAGGCAGAACAAACAATACAAAATATCAAACAGTTGGGGACAACTAAGTATACATATACACACATACAAACAGCTGTTCGTGTAGTTGCGTGCAAACGATTGAAATAGCCAAAGCAACATGTGAGACACTAATGTGTGAATGTCCATACATATGTGCACATCTATGTATGTACATATGTATCTACATATGTATGTATGTACATTCGTCTTGCACTGACAGAGCAAGAAATGTTAATTAATTGAAAATTATATAATATAACATTTTTAAAAGTAATTTTTTCTTTGTTTAGTGCATTTGGCATTAGTGTTTTCATTAATAACTTTATGCAGCAACAACAAATATCAAATAGTTGGGGACATCACATACATACACTCACACACAACAAGCAACAGTTCGTGTCTATGTGTGCGGTTCTCTACGTACGGTTGAAAAAGTAAAGAGAAACATATGTACATATGTACATTGTATGAATGAATATAGCATGTATGTACATTCGTATTAATGTATACATTGGGCAATCGAACACAGTTGTTTGATTGTAAAAAAAAATAATGCTCTAAAAACAACAACAACTGCAAGTCATTAGCTCGCTCTTCTTCTTTCGTTTTGACCATTTAATGTTAATTGCAAAGGCAAAACGCCAAAATGTTACAGTTACCGTCTCTAGGCAACGACTGCGTAAGCGATAGTAAAGCAGAAACCGAATAACGGAGCTACTCATATTCTGCTTCGCATTGCGGGCAGATGTATGTATGTATATGATTTGTTCTTATTGATGTCAATAAATAATTAGATTTTGTTATTTAAATATTCTGCTTATTGCATTCAAACTTCGATATTTTGATGGTATCGGTGCCAGTGCTTTTTGATCGTGGCTCATCGCTGCACGGCATTGTGCAGCGTTTGTGCGTGGCCGTATTGACTCAATATGGCACGAAAAGACTCAAATGTGAATTTAAATTTGGACTCAAGTATCGTTTCATAGTATCCATCATAGTGTAGGAGCACACTAAGAAAGGCTTTTGGAAAATTCTAGCTCCAACGGGGGGAAAACGAGCTTTAAAAAATATTAGTTATAGTGGTCATGTTCGTTTAACGAAATAGTTTGTCAAGAACAAAAATGTAACGGACTACTGAACAATTTTTTGTCAAGAACAGAAAATGTTCATTTAAATACCTTAAATGCCTTCCTACTGGTAACCTTTAAGGTGAAAACATATGGGTAGGTTATGCACACACAAAATAAATACAATTGGAAACATATTGAGCCGGGTTAAGACGGGCAATACCTGCTAGTTAAATATAAAATACTCCATACATACAATTACATTCACATCAGAATCGTGTCTATGCGTATTTGTGTACTTGTACATATGTATGTGTGCATAATTAATTATGTCAAAGCAGCAACAAATACAGCTGCAGACAGAGGTTGGGCTTGGTTATATGGCTACAACTTTCTTTATAATCAACCTATCATAATGAAACTTGGTATACGGATTCCGTCTTTTAACCACTCTTGTATTTGTCCCTTTACCTTTTCTTGGTCTTCATATAATAAACGTCTGGGTCTCTGATAAACAGGTATTTCGTCTTTAACTATGATCTTCATTTCAACAGGATATTTTACTTGCTCCACCGGACTACAATCCTGAATTATTTTTATACCCTTTACCCAAAGGGTGAAAGTTTTGTGCGAATGTATGTAACAGACAGAAGTAGTTATTGATCAGGATCACTAGCCGAGTTGATATAGCCATGCCCATCCGTCCGTCCGTCTGTCTGTCTGTATGAGTGCAACGATCTCAGCAAGTACAATAGCTAGGATAACCAAACTTGGCATTCAGATTCCCCTGAGCCTTAGGCAAGTCATATTTGCTTTTTTATTCTGATTCACCCCGCCCTCCCCCTCACTCCCCCGCATTTCGTGGTTTTTATAACGCCCGTAAATCTTGGAATTTTGAACTCAAATTTGGCATATACATCCAGTTTGTGGTTAGGTTAATTCTGAAGGAAGTTATAGCCACAAATAGAATCACTGCCCATGCTCGGCCCGCAGCTGTTGTTGTTGTTGCTGCTTTGGTTCAACTTTAAGTCTAAGATGCCTTATGTAAATACGCAGAAAATGTGTATTTTGGAATTTGCCTCCCTCCCTCCTTCCCACGCAAATCGTAACTCCCGTAATTTTTGGAATTTCTAACTCAAATTTTGCAAATACCACAGTTAGTGCTTATGTGTCCGTATGCCAAGCTTATATAAGATAGACCGATTTAACAAGAAGTTATGGCAATAAATATATTTGCACTACAAGCGCTGTCCGCAGCTGTTGTTGATGCTGATGCTTTGGTTGACTGCATACATACATACATACACTCACATAGAGGCAATTGCTTTGTATTTGTGCAATTATACACCCTTTACGTGAGTTCGAATACCCAAAGAGGTAAAATCGATCCCAAATTTTTTATTTTTTTATTTCTCTTACTTTTTTAATTTCTATAATTATTCTAAACATATGTACAGAGTATTTCAAAGTCGGGACACCTGACTTTAGCTTTTTTATTTGTTTTTTTGTGGGGTGGTACAGGGTATTTAGGAGTTGAGTCTGCTCGATTTTAGCATTCCTTTCTTGTTTCCCTTTAAGATCTTCGAGATATCTATCTTTTCTCTTCTCTCACTCACATAGAAAATCGAATCAATTTTTTTTTTTTTTTTGAGTACCATTATCGCTTACAATTACTTCGGGTTCTCCAAAACATGTGAATAGTTATTCTCTCAAAAAGTCAATACCGATTTTTGACGTGAATTTCTTAACGGCATTAAATGATCGCGAACAATAATTAGTTTGGAGAAATGGACCAATGAAATCAATATAAATTCGCTGAAATGGTCTTTCACTCGACACTTGACTTCCCATGGGTGGTTTAAGTGCACAAGTAGGGTGTTTGGATGTCCTAAATATATCACACTTGCCATTTTTGGCCAATAAAACTACGTCGAATACGTTCAACGCATTTGGCAATACCACAATGTCCTGTCGATGGTTGATCATGACCGGAGTTTATCACGTTATTACGCAATCTGGAAGAAACAATTTCCAACTATCCTCTTGATCTGCACTTCCTTCATGAAAACTACTACGCTGATATATGTAATTATCAATTACTCGAAAGTCTGGTAGATTGGATGTTAAATAGTTGTCTTTAAGCTTACTGTATTCGGGCTTCAGAATCTAAATCAGCTTCAGAATCTAAATCAATTTCTGGAAAGAGTTCAATTTCTACTGCTGAACGAGATAAAGCATCTGCTACATTTTCGCTTCCTTTACGATGCTCGATGCTGAAATTGAAGCCCTGCAATTTAATTGCCCATCTCGCCTATCTTCCACTCAAGTCAGTTTGGTTCATAAGCCAACGAAGGTTTGAATGATCGGTGACAA